GTAATGTATACAAGAGGAATTAGAGTCTCGAAAGTTAAAACTGCACTACGAAAAATGAGAAAGGGGAAGGCATGTGAGCCATATGATATTCCAATAGAGGTTTGGATGGCATTAGGAGATGTTGGAATTCTGTGGCTCACTAAGCTTTTTAATGAGATACTAAAGAAGAAGCATGTGCCTGATGCATGGAGGAATAATATTCTTGTCTCTATCTTCAAGAATAAAGGAGATGTGTTGAATTGTAACAATTATAGGGGCATAAAGTTAATAAGCTACTGTTGGGAATAATGTCCTAGAAGCATGAGATGTAATAGGATATTTATTATTTAATTAATAAAAGAGTTTATTCATCATTTTATGTGCATATATTTATGAATATTTTATGAATATCAAATGAAAATTCCGTGATTGTTTATGTAACCTTAAACATAGTATATAAGTGTTATATACGAGAGGATAGTGTTTAAGGATAATAATAAAAAAAAAAAACATTGTTCATGATGAATTTAATTAAAGTTCAGAATCTTTAATTAAAACATTATTAATACATGTCATTCCCATTTAGAATGGAACGGTGTTATCCGTACTGTTAATATGACGAGATATTGAATGAGTGTATTTCGCATAATAAGATTATGTGGAACAATGACACATACACAATATGAATTTCTAATAATTTCCGTTAAGGATAGAAATTCTGATTAAGTCTACCGATGGTCATATATAGGATGATCTTAATCCTGAGTTTTTAACAAACTCTTATTTATGGATTTATGTCTTTTGATTTACTCGGTACGGATTCCGAGACCCTGAATCCCATTCCTTGTATTTTGAAGACATAATGAAATAGGTAGCTGGGAATGTTATTATACGAGATGGAATCCATTCCTTCTTAAGAAAGAAGCAGATAAATAATTCTCTTGAGTGTTGATTCGGTACTTGGATTAGTAAGAGCGCTCTGGTTCATGAATGTGTTTTATGAATCACTATCTAATAGAATTAATTAATTAATTAAAGTGTTTAATTAGTTATTAATTTTATTGGAGCTCGGGATTATAGGTCCATTAGTCCTCGCGTCGTCCTAGTAATTCTACCAGACACAGAGGGTAAAATGGGAAATTTTAGAATTAAGGAATTCTATAAATTAAATACTGAAAAATAATTAATTGAGAATTAATTATTATTTAAATAATGTGATTATTTAAATTTGAATTTGAACATATCTAGATTTATCCATTTAAACTTATTTGATAAGTTGTTAAATTTAGAATTCAAATTAATTTAAGTTTGACTTAAATTTGAATTTGAATCTGAATTAGAATAGGACTACTGGATAAAGGATAAAATCTCTTCCTTCCCTATCTGATATAGGCGCCACACACAGGGATAAAACCCTATAGTATGGCCGGCCACCCTAAGGATAAGGGGAAGGGATTTTCTGTTCGAAATTCAAAATTGGAGATAGGGATTTGATCCTGTTTTTGAAGTTTGACTTCTACTCTTTAAATATGAGAATGATAGAAAATTGTGGACACAATTTTTGAAATAATTTTCAGCCCTAAGAGTTAGTGGTGGCCGAATTTCTCAATAGCAAAAGAGAGAAAATATTTTTCTCCAAAAATTCCACATCGTGCATGCGTTGGTGTTTGTAGAAATTTGAGTGTTTAAGAAACCTGTTTTGTCTCACGTGTGCCCACACACACGTCTACGTGGAATCAAAGAATTGACGTGGAATACTTTGGTATTCTAAACACAAAGCTTGGAGCAAGGACTGTTCGTGGTCAAAGAAATTCAAGTTATCATCCGAGTCGGTTTCCAGGTATTTTTTCGGTGGATCCTTGAATAATATAAATTAATGCGATTACTTTATTTGTGCATAAATTAATATAATCTATAGAGTATGTCAAAAGTTTTATGAAAATTTTTGTTATACACGATCCGCCTCCCTCACGCTTCCGCACCCGAATTCGATTCGGGAACCAGCAGCTACACCATGAAACTTGGGGATAGACTTATTGAAAGGAGATTAAGGATCACAACTACCATCTCAGGTAATCAATTTAGCTTCATGCCAAGCAGAATAACCATGGAAGCCATTTTTCTTCTTAGGATGCTGATGGAAAGCTACAAAGAAGCCAAGACAGACCTACATATGGTCTTTATAGATTTAAAAAAGGCATATGATAGGGTACCGAAGGAAGTTTTATGGTGGGTGCTAGAAAAGAGAAGAGTGCATGTGAGGTATATCAAGGTAAATAAGGACATGTACGATGAGGTGGTCACGAATGTGAGAACTACTGGAGGCTACACGAAAGAGTTCCCCATTCGGATCGGCCTTCATCAAGGATTTTCTCTTAGTCCTTATCTTTTTACTATTGTGATGGATGAGCTGACAAGAGAAATTTAAGATCGAGTCCTTGGTGTATACTTTTTACGGACGATATAGTTTTAGTTGATGAACATAGGGAAGGAGTTAACTGTAAGTTATAACTGTGGAGACCGACTCTCAAGATAAAGGAATTTAAGTTAAGTATGATGAAAACTGAATACATGCATTGTAGGTTTAGTAACTCAAGTAATTAGAATGATGGAATTTCTTTAGATGGTGTGAAGATTAGGGCTTCTAGAAACTTTAGGTACCTTGGGTGTATAGTGCAGTATGGGGGAGATATAGAAGAGGATATTCAAAATAGGATTAAGGCAGGGTGGGTTAAGTGGAAGAATGTTACGGGAGTTTTTTGTGATGGCAAGATGCTTATTATAAGTTGAAAGAAAAGTTCAATAGGACTGCAATCCACCCAGCTATGTTATATGGTAGTGAATGTTGGGCCATTAAGAGATAACATATATCTAAGATGAGTGTGGTAGAAATGCGTATGTTAAGATGGATGAGTGGCTATATGAGAATGGATCGCATAAGGAATGAAGTTATTCGTAGTAAAGTAGGTGTAGCACCAATAGAAGATAAGGTGCGCAAAGGCCGGTTGAGGTGGTATGGACATGTCCAACGTAGACCGCTAGAAGTACCAGTTCGTGCTCGGGAGAACATCCTTATACCTAATACTAGGAGAGGGAGGGGTAGACTAAGAATTACGTCGACCGAAGTAGTTAGGAAAGACATTCTAGATCTAGGCCTTCAAGAAAGTCTAATTTCGAACAGAGCTGCGTGAAAAAGTGAAATCCATATAGCGGACCCCAATTAAGTTGGGATTAAGGCTTGTTGTTGTTGTATATACGTTAAAGAAAAGAATAATGCTAGGGACACCAACTTACATTATAACTTTTATGTACCAACTAACGTGACATGTGAGTTTTCATTTATATATTGGTGCATGTTTAAAACGTTGCCACGTCAATTAATGAAAGCAATTGTATTTACCAATAAAAAGATGACAACTCACATGCCACATAAGTTAGTAGATAAAAATTGAGATTTGAGTTAGTGTTCCTATTATAACTCGAAAAGAAATTCGTAGCCACGTCTCCCCTCGCGCCAGAGCATATAGATCCACCCTGTTGATTGATGAAGTTTTGTTTTTGTTTTGTTTTGTTTTGTTTTAAAGTAGTCTCACTTCAAATTTAAAATCTAAATTAAATAAAAATTCAACTATACAACTATATAAATTCGCAAATTTTGAGTTCTAAACTTTAAAGTAAATACTAAGCTTCATAATAAGTTTAGTTCATTTAAAAAAAAAAATTAAACACATAAATAGATAGATGAATGTAAAAAGATTATTGTGTTATAGTATAGTTCCTAATTTTTAGTTTGTATTACGTTCCCTTTGAAAATAAATTTAGGCTCCACCACTGCACACGAACACACTTCCAGTATTTCTGATAAGTGTAAAGTTTTTGGTATATGCACGTCAGTACGCCGAATAAATGTCACAACATGTTTTTCCCTCTCAAACACACACACTTGTAAAATGATGATATAATCTTTTCTACTTTGGTATCAACTAGCAACCTTGTCCCACACGAAGCTCCTTACTTATATCTTTTGAAAACAAAATAAAATAGAATTAAAACAAAATTGATGGATAGTGTATAGCATTATTGAAAATCTGGATATTAACCACAATAAAACTGAGTGATATATGTCCCGTTCGGTAGTTCCGTAGCAGGTTTTTTCGGATGTTTTCTAGGATCAGAAGGAACCGCTATAATGACCACTACGTGCGTTTCATTCTCTTCGGTCTTATCTCTGATTGCTTTTTATGAAGTCGCACCGGGAGCTAGTGCTTGCTATTTAAGAATTGCTCCATGGATCTCATCGGAAATGTTTGATGCTTCTTGGGGCTTCTTCGTTTGGCTCATATCAATTGAGAATTTGAGTTAAAAAAGAATTTATGTGAAAGAAAATATTATAACAAAAAATATTGGAAGTTTATTTTTTGTGTGAAAAAACAGTACAATAAATACTTTACTTGTGATTCAAACTAGTGAAATGAATAGTAAGCAACTTCATCAATGTCCTCAAGTCTCTTACTACTCTCTCTTCTCCCAATACAATCATCTTGAGGCATCAATTTTGTAAATCAATTTCAATCTAAATAATTGCTTCGAATCTCGATTATTGAACATAAACAATATGTAAGTGGACACTACTCGAATACAAGAAAAAAAAATTTGTTCAGCAGTAAGACAACTAAAATCGTTAAAGAAAATCGAGTAACTATTGGGATTCAAAGTTACCGATCAGAACACTATACCAAGTGATAGATTTGACTCCCGTATATAATCCTCTTGTTCGAATATTCTTTGAATACCATAATATCATGTCAATTAAAATATTGTACCAAATCAATTGAAATGCAATGTTAGTTAAAATATTAAATTAATAGACGTGACATCATAATAATTTACTAAATTTTTTTGAATAATAAGAGCCGATATTATAAAAAAATAAAAAATAAAAACAAAAAACAAAAAAAAACAAACTCTTATATATGCTACTTAGCATCCATCACAGACCTCTATAAAACGGGGGTACTGATCATATCAATTTTCAACTTCATCAATGACCCCAAGCGTCTCACTTCCCTATCTCTTCTCCAAATTATATCAGATGGAGAATCTATTCCTTTCCATCATAGTACTTTTCTTTCCTTCTCTCCTCTTCGTGATAATGATACCGAAATTAGCAGCTTGGAAGAAATCCAGGACAGCTAATTCAACTCTAAAGATACCCCCAGGGCCAATGAAACTTCCTCTCATAGGAAATCTCCACCTTCTTGTTGGGTCTCTACCACATCATCGCCTAAGAGACTTGGCCAAAACATATGGATCCCTTATGCATCTACAGCTGGGAGAAATTTCTAATATCGTTGTTTCCTCGGCTGAGATCGCGCACGAGATGCTAAAAACTCAGGATGTTAACTTCTCGGAGAGGCCATTTCTCCTCGCTGCAAGCGTCTATGGTTCCATAAGCATCACCATGGTGCCGTACGGAGAATTTTGGAGACAGCTTAGGAGAATTTGCACACAAGAACTGCTGAGTCCTGGGCGCGTTCAATCCTTCAGATCAATCAGGGAAGAAGAGGTGTCCAATCTACTCAGATATTTGCATACAAGCGTAGACACGCCAATCAATCTTACGGAGCAAATATTTGCGATGACGTATGGCATCACAGCGAAGGCGGCCTTCGGTAGGAAATGTAAAGATCAAGAGGCTTTTTCATCAGTTGTCAGGGAAATTTTGAAGATTGCTGGAGGTTTTAGTCTTTCTGAGGTGTTCCCTTCCAAAAAATTTCTTCGTAGGATCAGTGGCCTGGGGCCTAAAATAGAGAAAAATTTCAAGAAGACCGACCAAATACTAGAAAGAATTCTCAGAGATTGGCGAGAAGAGAGGGAAGCGAAGACCGGCGAGGGCAAAGGAAATAGTTTATTGGATGTCCTTTTGAATCTTCAAGAAAATGGTGATCTTGCAGTTCCATTGGAAGACCCAAACATCAAAGCTATTCTCCTGGTTAGTACATCTGTTTACCTCCATATGTCTTCTATTTTATACACATGACTAATGACATCTCCACAAATACAATATTTTCAGGACATATTCGTCGCGGGGAGTGACACGTCGTCTACAGTCCTGGAGTGGGCAATGTTGGAGATGTTGAGAGATCCAAGAGTGATGGAGAAAGCACAAGCCGAGGTGAGACAAGTGTTTGGAGGCAAAGGGAAAGTTGATGAAACATGTCTCCACGAACTGAAGTACTTAAAGCTAATTATCAAAGAGACCATGAGATTGCACCCTCCTGGTCCCCTTCTTCTTCCAAGAGAATCGAAAGAAGATTGTGTGATAAATGGATACTACATTCCTGCCAAAACTAAAGTCATAATCAATGCATGGGCAATAGGAAGAGATCCCAATCATTGGACTGATCCCGAGCAATTTTACCCGGAGAGGTTTGTCGATAGTTCGGTTGACTTCAAGGGGACTAATTTCGAGTTCATCCCATTTGGTGCTGGTAGGAGGATGTGTCCTGGCATAACATTTGCTATGGCTGATATTGAGCATCCTCTTGCCGCGTTACTGTTCCATTTCGATTGGAGACTTCCCGGTGGGACCGCCCATGAAAATCTAGACATGACCGAGCATTTTGGCGTAACGGTTGGAAGAAAAGGCGGTCTCTACTTAATCCCAGTTAATCCTTATAGTTCTTCTTCTATTTAGTTTTAGCTATTCATTATAATCCCAGTTGAAGAGTACTATTATCATCTATTGAGAATAAGGAAGCTAAGCTTTATGGAATATTTTCTATATCAAGTTTTATCTGTAAGCACAATAAAGTGGATTAGTTTGTATTCACCTTGTATGTACCTGTATTTCCAGCTAAGCTTCTTGGGATATTTTATCTCTTTAAAGTACTACCTTTTAGTAGTACATATGCTGAAAGTCTTTATATTAGTTTCCAACAATGACAAAAAATTATGTTTGTATCGTATGTTTCCACACTAGTTACTTGTCATCTTGGAAAAGCTAAATATATTTAATGATGAGCATCATGAAAAAACTTGTATTTATGGACAAAATAGTAGCTTTCTAATGGAAATTATTTTGGACCTCACAAATAACTTTCCTTGTCTCAACGTCAAAGATTGAAAACGTGAAGTTGCACATTTCTCAAACATTTAGCCTAAGATTTTTATATTATCCGCTAAAAGTAGTTTGTGGATACAAAGTCGTTTATTTGAAAGAGACAATCTTAGAAATAATTAACAATATGCAAATTGCAAAATAAAGAGAAATCAGAAAATTGCCTAGTCTAAGGACGTTTTGTTTCAATAATCCGAACCAAAAAATTCAATTCTAATGGTGGCTGAAGGTCAAATTGAACTAAATGAGAACAATTCAAACCATTAACAATGATTCAAACTCTTGATTTTAGAATTGTCCCCCTCCCTCCCTCTAAATTCACAATCCGAATTATTTTTCCAGTAAAATCAATTCGGGATTTTATAAGATCTGGTACAAAACTCTAATAACATTTTTCAACACTTTATCTAAACATAGTTCTGATTTTATTTCTAATTTAAATTATAATTAATATGGGTATACAATCACCGGTTCGAATCATAATTCAAATCACCATGATTGAAACTAAATCTTACAATTCTGTAACGACCTGGCTTCTCAAACCATTACTTAGTGTGACTTATGGCGGAAACTTAACTAACTTCTAATGACTTTGGCCCCATTCTTTTCGCTGATTCGAGTTTAGAATTTGAGTTTTGCTACAGTAAAAAGTTCTCAGAAACAGTCACATCTATCTTTTTTGCTACAGTAAAAAGCTCTCACACAACATTACATCTCAACTCGAATTAAAAACTTTATTAACTTCTATATTAGTTTCCAACAATGACAAAAAATTATGTTTGTATCATACGTTTTCACACTAGTTACTTGTAATCTTGGAAAAGCTAAATATATTTAAGATGAGCATCATGAACAAACTTTTATTTTTGTTACTTTTTTTAGTGAACTTTTAACTTTCAATATACTCAAAAAATATATGTTTGAACTTCTTGAACCTTGAACACATATCAATAAACAAACAAAAGCCAAAACGGCTAAATTACAATTAATTAAAGCTGACAAATACGAATTCTTTTTCAATAGGAAACTAATTTTGACCTAAGGAGCAAGGGTCCACAAATGAAACTAGAAGTTGAGTACTCATTTATGACGATGGACGGTTTTTCTAACAGTTGTCGTGTTAAAAACAGCTTTTAACCGTCGTTAAACCTGTTATTTTTACTAGTGAGTCTCCTAATTAGCTAGATCAAGTTACTAAGAAAACAAAAAACACCAAAACAAAAGAAAAAAAAATCCCTTTTGATGGTCTAAACGATGAGGTTTGAACGGAAATCGTTTCGGACTTGTCACCTTTTCACTTGGAAAAGTGTAATTTTGTTCCTAAATCTCACATATCGTCATTAGACCTTCGAACGTACGTATCATTAAAGATAACAGCATGAGAGCTCAAATGAAAATGTTTTAGAAGGGACCAATTTGAAAGAAAAACTGTTTTTACAAGAATAAATTAGAGAAAAAAATTTAGTTTGATACATTTAAAATTATAAAATTTAATAAGAAAAGACCAAAAGAACAATAAGAAAAAAAGAACGATTGAGATTGGATTTTGTGTGGATATGTTTAAAATTCTTATTCAAAAAGGAGGGCATATATGAATTTTTTTTTTTTAAATCACATATAAAAAATCTAGGGGCATGTGCCCCTCCGGTGCTCACCTCCCTCCGCCACTGGCTCTATTAAGTTACACAAGTGACAGCATAAGTTTCTCTTGCCACTGCACCAAAAACCATACATATGGGATTAACTAAAATGCTTAAATCTAATCACGTGACTTGAATGGTTATTTTATCCATTAAAACATTTTTTCTCAAATGTGTCTCTAATCAAGAATTTTCCTATCAATTACTATTTTCTCATAAACACATTTTTTCTAATTTTTCTCTATTAAAGTAATGAATATTTTTTCAAATGTGCCCAGAATTTTTTTTTGTGGCACTTAAAACTATTATTTTTCATATGTATAATATTTGTATTCAATTTACCTACTAAAATCTGTATTATTCAAATATATTCTATTTGGCCATACATATATACTATATGCATAAAATATATCAAGAGTTGATTTCATAATTAATACTTTTCATGTTTTTTGTTTATGCCCCGAATCAAAATCATGACTCTGCCACCTAATAGAGCTAAGTGTATATATATATATATATATATATGTATAGGATTCATCATATGAAAATTATTAGTTAGCACATGCTGAGTGTTTTTTTTCATATTTGGGAGTCTCTTCTGACATGACTTTTAAAGTTAAAATTTGAATTTTTTTCCAATCTTTAAAGTCGTCGAAGACTAAAGATTAAAGAAGTGAATTTCCCACCTGTCTTGGCAAGAGGAGTTTAGAAAACAAACGGCACCTTGTATTTATTGACAAAATATTAGCTTTCTCTTGGAAATTATTTTGGACCGCACAAACAACTTTCCTTGTCTCAACGTTAAAGATTGAAAAGGTGAAGTTACACATTTTTCAAACATTTAACGTAAGATTTTTATATTATCTGCTAAAAATAGTTTGTGGATAAAGTTGTTTATTTGAAAGAGACAATCTTAGAAATTATTAGCAATATGCAAATTGCAAAATAAAGAAAAGTCATCAGAAAATTGCCTAGTTCTGTCAGTTCTTCAGAAAATTATCTAAGGCCTGTTTGTTTCAACAATCCGAACCAAAAAATTCAATTCCGATTGTAATTAAGGGTTCAAATTGATGTTTGATAGAGAATAAATGAGGACAATTCAAACCATTAACAATGATTCAAACCTTAATTTTAGAATTGACCTCCCTCCCCATCCCTCCCAGCTAAATTCACAATCTGATTGTTTTCTTTAGTAAAACTAATTCGGGATTTTATAAAATCTGTTACAAAACTCTAGTAGTAGTTTTTAACACTTTATGTATACATAGTTCTAATTTTATTCCTTATTCAAATAATAATTTATTTACGTATCTAAACACCAATTCGAATTACAATTCAAACCAAATCTTACAATCCTTATAACTTAACACTTGGTTACCCAAAATTTCGGAGAAATTTTTTTTTGAAACTTATTTTAAGGTAACTCTTTTTTTTTTTTAACGTATTGCGGAAATACTTAAATAAACATTGGTTGTAAGTTCGAACTAGTATATCCGTAGCGTGTCGTATTTGCAAATATAAACCAATTTCAAATGTTCTCAACTTGAGAAAATTTAATAGGCATCGGCGAAGCCTCATACTTTTAACGTAAAACATGTTCAATTAAACCATAATTTTGAAACATGTTAACCTTAAGCAAAATTTAACTACATGGTGGTATCCACTGCCCAATCCCTCCACCGTATACATACACGCTCTCTTATGCAAAATCCATCAATGAGTTTTAGGCTTCATACCTACAAAATGAACAAACTTGATGAGCTAGAAAGCTCAACGAATACAAATATTCCTCATAAAACATTTTTTTCAAAAATAACAATATATCAATGAATGCATGTCCGTTTATGCTTCAATTATAAAATATCCATTTATTATCCTTAGAGGGTCATGTGCTCGTACCAATGTGCACAAGACCGAAGGGAGTGAGGGAGCGACCCAAACATACCCCAAGGTCATATTTATTTAGTTAACCTTTAGTCACTAAGGGTCGGAGGAATTTTAACCTCTCATCTCCCAAAGTTAGAGGGTGGCACAACACTTAGTATCTCATCATTATCTTAACCTCTTATTCAAGTGAACATGCGATTATGTTACATAAATTTTAATAATAACATTACTTCAGAGGCAGTGTACTTAAAACATCATCATCATAATACATACATCTCATAATTTAATCATTTACAGAGAATTTGTGTACACAAAGCAAACAATATCTCAAACATATCTTTTAAAAACGTATTTATGTTGTCAGTGAGGTTTGTAGCCACCCTCGGTGATATCGCTTTAGCGTTTACCACAATAAATCACTCTTGTACGATGGAACGTTCTGTGTTTAATAGTACTGATAGTCAGCTGTTAGTTCTTTATCAAAGTTTCTTAGTCAAGTCTTATGTAAGTCTTAAAGATCCCGTCTTAGGATCAACTATTTGGATTAATTAATTCAATTAGTTATCCCTTCTTAACTCAATTCTCATTTCTAGATCAACTAACGAGTTTTAATTTAATTAGTTATTCGTTCCCCTTTTTAGAATTTATTAACCAACTTAGGTTAATTATTCTTTGCTAATTATTTACTCGTCTCTCATCTTAAATTAATTTAATTAATTAATTAATAATTAATTAAATTAATTACATCATTAGATCTTATTGATTTGTTAGTCTAACAACCGTTATTACTTTACTCTAGAGCCTCGGAAATTAACGGAAATAGTAGAAAATAGGCCAATATGAAAAGCTTAAGAAAGTATATAGGCCAATTTTTAGTTGTAGAAATTAATAGGCCATAACTTGTCAAGTTATGGTTCATAACCAGATAAATTATGGACAGACTTGTCAAGTTATGGTTCATAGCCAGACAAGTTATGGACAAAAACTGTGAATTATAGACAATAACTTGTCAAGTTATGGTTCATAACCAGACAAGTTATGGACAAGAACAGTAATTTGGCCTATTTATTAACTTATGTAAACTATTAGCCTATTAATTTTAATCCATCTCAAGTCTTGACCTATTTCCCTCTTTCTCCCGGAAATTAATATGTACTTGGGCTCACCCTAACCTCATTTCTAAGGATGGGTTTGGCCTATTGGGCTTGGACTTGGACTACCTACCTAGTAGGTTTCATTAGGTCTACTTAAGGGTTACCACATGTCTTATTAAGGCCATTAGGATTGGGTTCCACCTTAGTAGCCTAATT